GAAGGCGGGGCCTCAGGCGGCCAGGAGCGGGCGGGGCCCGGGGAACAGGCGGTGCCGAAGTGGATGTGCAAAAAAATTCACCTTGGACAAAACCGAGGGCGAAGTCCCGGAAAGCGAAGGGAGTGGTGCTGCCGTCAACGGCGCTCCACGAACACCAGCCTCAAGTACTGCAGGGGAGGACGCGCCACGTGACCAGGTCGACGCCCAGGAGGAAGAAGAACATCACGAAGGCGATGAGCAACGTTGTGCCACCAGATGATGCAGAGGAGGCCCAGGGTGGAAGTCCAATCCACGACCAGGCAGCAGTGAAGCTTGAGGTGCGGCCTCCAAACGAACTTGCCGCCCATGACCGACAGGAAGCCGGTGAGCTGCAGGGAAAAACTTGTCCTGCATCGGCAGCGCGTGAAGACGGGCAGCAGCCACACACGATGCGCTGACGTCCGCAATGCCAAGGGCCAGGAGACCTCCCACAATAGAGGTCCAGAAATCCACCCCCATAAGAACCTCCCCGACACGCGAAGTCGTTTGGTAAATGCGCCCAGAGAAGGAATCAAACAGGCCAGAGCTGTTTAGTAAACGCCCACGGCCGTTTAGTGAGCGCAAATGGTCGGGTCCGGGTGGTTGATCTTCCCTTGACACAAGAAACCCAGCCCCGGACCCCCAGGACGCCCACTTGGATCTCTGGCGTGGGGACGGCATGCTCTCCACACATCGCAAAGCCATCGAGGCCCAAGACACCCAGGGCACCCTGGAGGCAGGCTGGGTGTCTCATGTCATGGGTTTCCACTGCACTGTCGACCCGTATCATAAGGATGGACGGTAAGGATGCAAAGGCCTTGGAAGGCCACGTGAACGTGTTTTTTCGACCGAGAACGGCCGGCGAAAGCCGTCATGCATGGGCCGAGGAGGCAAGGATGCAAGGGTACCCTTGGGAAGGTTGCCCATCCCCAGACATGCGACGCCCTCATTCTTTCAAGACGGGGCCCCTGGATGTCCCGATCCTTTCCCCGGGACTGGCTTTTCATCCTCGATCGTTTTTTGACGGTCCCGAGGTCCAGCGAGGGCTTCCAGGGGCCGAGATTGGCCAAAAACCTCGCGTCTTTTTATGTTATTATAAAAAGTCACGCGATCATGTCTGGGTCCATAATATGCGGTTTAACTATGCTCTCGAGCAGGCTGAGGCCATGTCCGTGCGCGGCCCCGTCGGCCCTCTCGTCCAGCGATCGAGGGAGACCAGCTGCCCCCCACGGGGCATACGAGGGGACCAGAGGCGGGGCAGGGCTGGGAGCCCTCCTGCTGGTCGTTCGGCCTCCCCCTCCTCCTCCTCCTCCTCCTCCTCTGCGTCCTCCTCCTCCTCCCCCCTCCTCCTCCTCCCTCCTCCTCCTCCTCCCTCCTCCTCCTCCTCCTCCCTCTCCTCTCCCCCTTCTCCTCCTCCTCCTCCTCCTCCTCCTCCTCTCCTCCCTCCTCCTTCCCTCCTTCCTCCTCCTCCTCCTCCTCCTCCCTCCTCCTCCTCCTCCTCCTCCTCCTCCTCCTCCCCTCCTCCCGCCACTCCGTGGAGATCCAATCCTCTGTTGTTGGCGGCGCACACAGTGGGCTAGTGGGAGGGGGAAGGCTTCTGAGAAGGGGGGCTGCTTCGTAGAAGGCGCCGGCCTTGCATGTATACAGAAGGTCCGCGCCTCAGGGGTGCTTCTAAGAAGCCTTCCCCCCTCCCCCATGTCCCCTCCAGTCACGGCGCGCTCTGTGCGAAGCTACTCGTAACGACGCGGCGACACCAGCGCCCCCAAGGCGAACATCTGGGTTTGCTTCACGGGGGGGCATGGGCGATTGCTGATCCATTACATCGAAGCAAACATTGGCATATTGGGCGTTGGCGAATCGGCACTTTGCGAGTAGTGGAACGCGCTCGGTGAAATACATTGGACTTCTGGGCCCTGCCTCGGGCCACCTGGTCCTGTCGGCTGGGGGCCTCTCGAGGCCGTCGTCGTCGTCGTCTTGTCGTCGTCGTCGTCTTGTCGTCGTCGTCGTCTTGTCTTGTCGTCGTCGTCGTCTTGTCGTCGTCTTTTCGTCGTCGTTGTTGTCGTCGTCGTCGCGATGGGTCCTCCCTCGGGCCCGTTGGCCATGGCGATGCGCTCCGCAGCAAGCATGGGGGGCGGTCCCGCTGCCCGCGCGCTGCGGGGCGCAGACCCGTGATCTTCACCTCCGGGGCCGTGGGGGCGCGGCCAGGCAGGCCACGGGGGAGAGGGAGGAGAAGGATGATGATGATGATGATGAGGAGGAGGAGAGGGAGGAGGACGAGGAGGAGGAAGAGGAGGTTGGAGCGTCCGGGGGCACCGCGAGCCTTCCCGGACTGCCGCCCGATTGGGCGGGGCCGCCTCTGGCGCTGACCGCCGAGGGAAGCTGTTTACTTGAAGGCCTCGGGATGGGGGAGGATCAAACCCAGGGCCAGCAGGGGGTCCAAAAACGGGGGCGCGGGAAGATCATATCCGAGCTGACGATGGGCAAGGGAATCCATCGGCGAACACCCGCAGTTTCCGCGCCCACCTTTTCCTACTCTACCTTTTCCTCCTTCTCCACTCTCCTCCTCCTCCTTTTCCTGCGTCCTCCTCCTCCTCCACTGCCCTCTTCGTCCTCCTCCCCCTACCTCCTTCTCCACCCTCCAGTTTTCCTTCTTCCTCCTCCTGCGTCATCCTGCTTCCCTCTTGGAGGAGGCAACAACGCAAGCGTACACGATTGGAGGTCCGCAAATCTCTTGTGTCGGCGGTTCTCCACACTGGCGGCGGCGGCGCCGCCGCCCCTGGCTTCTCGACTCTCACTGGCGTTTCTAGGCACGGAGTGGGCCCCCAAAGGCTGGAAAGGACTCGAAGCCTGCCGCCGTGACTCTTGAACGACGCGAGGGCGCCAGTTCCTGGGCTTCCTTCCCAAAGGGTAGCCTTCACGCTCCACGAGGACGCAGGGCGCGAATGCCTTCGCGCTCTCGCACCGCCTCCCCCAGGGGGAGACGAGAAGGACGAGGAGAATGAGGAGGCATCGCGACTCGCGAAGAACGTCGCGCCCTCGTGCCAGAGCTCTCGCTTCCTCCTCCTCCCCCGCCTCTGCCGCATCCCCCGTGCCGTTGTCGCCTTGAGGGAGCCCTTGGCGCCGGGGGTCCCGCCGAGCTTCAGCTCCACCTGCTCCAGGAGCGGGGCAGGGGGGGGGGGGACAAGCGTCCTCCTCAATCCCCGATCCTGCCCAGATCCTCGATGCTGCCTCGATAGCATCTCCTGCGCGATCGCCGATACGCCTCGATCCTCGATCCCACCTCCTCCCTGGAGGCCATCGGGCTCCAAAGACGAGGATGACAAGACGGAGTAGGAGGAGCAGAGGGCTCTGAAGATGATGATGCTGCTGATGCTGATGATGGTGCTTATGATACTGATGATGGATGGTGATGATAATGATGACGATGATGATACTTTGAGTGATGATACGGATGCTGGTACTGATGATGACTATGATCATGTTGGTAAAGATGATGATGCTGATGATGACGAAGGGGATGAGGATGATGAGATGAGGATAACGACGATGTTGATGATATTGATGAGCATCACTATGATTAGAATGATGATGGTGATGATGATGATGATTCTGGAGATGATGATGACGATGATGATGACGATGCTATTGATGAGGATGTTGCTGATTCTGATGAGCATGATGATGATGCTGAGGGGGGTGATGATGATGATGACGCTGATCACGATGATGGTGATGCTGATGGTGATGCTTATAACTATGGTTGTTGTGATGATGGTGGTGATGATGAGTTTGGTGGTCATGACGATGATGATAGTGCTCGGTGATGATAATGGAAAAGGGGATGAGGATGATGGTAATGAGGATGACGACGATGATGATGATATTGATGATCATAACTATGATTATAATGATGGTGGTGATGATGCTGATTACGATGATGATGACGACGATGATGACGATGGTATGGATGAGGATGTTGCTGATGCTGATGAACATGATGCTGATGATGATGATGGTGATGATGATGATGGTGATGATGATGATGATGATGATGATGCTGAGGGGGATGATGCTGATGCTGATGACGGTGATGGTGATGCTGATGATGATGCTTGCAAGTATGATTGTTGTGATGATGGTGATGACGATGAACTTGGTGATGCTGATGATGATGAGGATGATGATAATGATGGTGATGATGATGATGATGATGAGGAGGAGGAGGAGGAGGAGGAGGACGAGGAGTCGAGCGTGCGGAGGGGGAAGGCTCCTGGCTGCCCTCGGCCGCGCGCCCTTGATGATGAGGAGGAGGGGGAGGAGGAGGAGGAGGAGGAGGAGGAGGAGGAGGAGGAGGAGGAGAAGGAGGAGGAGGAGGAGATGCACTCCAAACGCACATCCAACGGGCTTGATGGACTACTCCCCGATGCCCTCGCGCTGTGAAAACAAAACCACTAATTAACTGCGTGACGTTCTGAGCCGTGTTCGGCCTCTTGGGGCCCGGAGCGGGCCCCCGAGGCTGTCGTGAAGCAGACGGGCTCTGACGGAAATGTGCTGGACCCCGGGGCTCCTTCCCAGGACCTGCTTCTCACCCCAAGTCGTTCTCTGACAATCCCATTGGGCTCCGGGGGGGGCCCAAGGGCCAGAGAGCGGGGAAGCACCTCAGGCTCGTCGCCATCAGCCGGGGAAACGTAAAGGCGGGGTAGCGGCAAGAAGGTGTTGCTGGAGGGGAATCGTTCCAAACGGCACCAGGGATTAGTACATGTGAGCATCCGACTGGGCTCGCAACCCCACCTCGGGAGATCTCCTCCCCTACACTACGCCCTCCCGAAGCCCTGGCATCCGCCGATGAGGTGCTTGCGGTGCGCCGTCCCAGACAGGTGCCGACCGCATCCCTGAGGGTAGGTTGTCGCCCAGGACCCATGCTTGATTGACCCGGTGACCGAACACAGACCCGAGAGAAAAGCGCCAGGAGCGTTGGAACTCTAGGTGGCGATGGCCTGGCCGGGGGCCCTCCCCACCTCGAAGCTCTCGTCCGGGGAGCACGGCTCCTGGCTCATCTCGAGCTTGGCCTGTGGCTGGCGCAGCAGGGCAGTGCGCCGGCACCGCAGAGCGAGCTCGACTCGACGCGGGCAGGCCTCTTGCGGGGTGAGCAACACGTTGAGACTGGCTCCTCGTGGGGAACCTCGACTCGGAATCGGCGAGACATCCCGGTAGATCGTTGAGGGGCCCAGACGGTGCGACAGGAGCCGACACAGGCTGCAGGGCATGAGTGGAACCGAACGGCGTAAGACCACACACACACACGCGCGCGCACACAAACACACACACACACAACCATGCGCGCGCACAGACATACACACACAGGCAGACACACACACACACACACAAGCACACACACACATTCACACACACACACACATCCTCTGGCTGCCTGGGCCATAGAAACCTGAAGCTCCGAGAGGACAGGCGAACGCGAACCCAGGCTCGCAAGCTGTAAACTGGCGGCTCTCACACGGGCTCCGCCGTCCGATCACACCTGAGGATGAATACAGAGGATGGGGAGATAGACTCGCAGGGGAACGTGGACGACGACCCCAATCGGAGCGCCTGGGAGGCAGGTGCGTTGGAGCAGGTCCTGGGACCGACCGCTGCGGCCGAAGGATGAGCACTTGCCCGTTCAGGGAGGCCTGAGGGCCAGGGGCCCTCATTCGGGGGCGCGCAAACATGGACTAGCGATCCATGGATTTGGCGCGCGGTCGCTAAATCCATAGGTCGGGAGAGGTGCTCTCCCCAAAATGCGGCTGGTGCCGCCTCGCGCGGAGGCGGAAATCCCCGGTTTCCCATGGAAGCGGGACCCGTCGCTGATCCACGCCCCCTTGATCCATGTTTGCGATCGCCTGACTCATATGCCTGCTGATGGCAGGGACTGCCAGGGACTGCCGTGGAGAGCCACGAGTGGTACCGGCCAGATCCTGCAGCGTCGCGCCCCGAGAGGTGCGCGACGCGTGGCTGTATTTCCACGCCCTCGCGCCAACCCCTCCGTGGAGAGAAGGACAGCCGCTCTGCTGCGACGCGCAAAGCCTGGCCCTCCTCGCGCCCTCCTCGCGTGGGACCCAGGAGCCAGAATCCCGCGGCCAGCAGCGAGAAGACGAAACGGCAGGCGCGCCTACACCCAGCGCCGACACCAAGGATGTCCTCCTCCTCCTCCTCCTCCTCCTCCTCCTCCTCCTCCTCCTCCTCCTCCTCCTCCCCCTCTCCTCCTCCTCCTCCTCCTCCTCCTCCTCCTCCTCCTCCTGCTCCTGCTCCTCCTCCCCCTCTCCTCCTCCTTTTTCACCTGTCTCGCCACGCATGTGCCCAGACACGCCAGAATTCAGAGGCCACGGCCTCGCCCACCTGGTCCCAGCCAAGCCCAGACGCTTGAAGTCCGCAGCGGTGGTCGTCCGTGGGACCCGGGAATCCCATCCCGGTTCGCGGATGGTGCCTGGACTTCCACACTGCGGCCCTGCAGCCGGCATGCACCCATCTCTGGAAGCCAGAGGACCAGAGACGTCCGTCGGGACGTCCCGGCGCAGGACATGCTGCTGCGACTGGCCGACGTCTGCCAAGGCCCCGCCAGGATCCCGATCGACGATCTGGTGCGGAAGTGCGCGCGGCCTGGCCCGCACGCAAGGGCAACTCGTGCGTGGCAACAGTAGCTCATTGCATCTCTTCTCCCTCTCTATTCCTCTTTCTATCCCTCTCTCTTCCTCTCTTTCTTTCTCTCTTTCTCTCTCTCTCTCTCTTTCTCTCTCTCTCTCTATCCCTGTTTCTCTTTTTTTGTGTTTGTCTACCTCTCTCTCTCTCCCTCATTATTATTCGCATTATTATCATCATGCTCATGCTCATGCTGATCCTCATCCTCATCCCCACCCTCATCCCCACCCTCACCCTCATCCTCATCCTCATCCTCATTATCATCCTCATCCTCTCTCTCTCTATCTCTCGCTCTCTTGCTTTCTTTCTTTCTTTCTTTATGTCTCTCCCTCTCTCTCACATTCAAAACATGTATCCGCCTCCGTGCCTGCACCGGGGAGGAGGCATGGGGGGGCGCGTCAGAATGCGCGTGTCTTGTCTGGTTGTTGCTTTCTAGGGCCACGCCACCCCCCATCGTACCACGCGTGCCTCGACCGACCAGTAGAAAACGAGGTTGGGATCTCATCGTGTGTGGTGGGAAGGTGCACAGGAAAGAGAACGATGAGGGGATGGCGGTGGGAGAGGACAAAAAGCCTTTGGTCCACTCCGCCGCCGCAAATAGTACACCGAGCAGGCGGCACAGGCAAATTGGGCTGCGCCGCCTTGAGCCCATACGGTTGCGGGTATGCAAACATTCTACGCTACCCCCTCAGACCGCACCTTCAAACTCGACCCCCCCCCAGAATTTACCCTCCGGCGCTCTTTTCGGCCTCCAGACGGCCAGGATGGCATCCAACATGACTTCCAAGACAACCGAAACCATACCAATACTGCTCAAAATAGCCGCAAATACGGCTCAAACGGCTCCCAATATCAGGACGGCACAGGAGGGCCCTAAGACGGCCACAGATGGCTCCGAGAGCCTTTCAGGAGAGCCTGAGAAGGCAACATACCTGGATTCCCCGAGGTCTTCCAAAGATTTTGAAACTTTCGCGTATGTCGCTTCCTGGCCGCGACCGCGCAAGACGGCCAAAAAAGCCTACAGGATAGCTCCGAGACAGCCCATGAATCCCCCAAGAGGGGCCCAAAGTCGGCCACAGAGGACCCCAAGATCGCCCAAGAGGCTCCCAAGAGGGCCCCACGACGGCTCCTCCTCCTCCTCCTCCTCCTCCTCCTCCTCCTCCTCCTCCTCCTTCTTGTCCTCCTCCTCCTCCTCCTCCTCCTCCTTCTTGTCCTCCTCCTCTTCCTCCTCCTCTTCCCCCTCCCCCTCCTCCTCCCCCTCCTCTTCCTCCCTCCTCCTCCTCCTCCTCCTCCTCCTCCTCCTCCTCCTCCTCCTCCTCCTCCTCCTCCTCCTCCTCCTCCTCCTCCTCCTCCTTCCAAGAATGCTCCAAGAGAGCACCCAGACAGCCCAGGGAATATCCCAAGACGGCCTGCAAGGGCGTTGGCCAGGAGCCGCCTAAGAGACTGCCCAAAGACGCCCAGAGAAGCCTGCAAGAGGCCCCACGAGGCCCACCAAGAAGGCCCCCGGGAGGCTCCCAGGAGGCCGCAGGAGAGCACCAAAGAGGCCTCCTCCTCATTGTCTTCATGTTATCCCTGGCCTCCTCCACCTCCTCCTGCTCCTCCTTGTCCTTCTCCTCCTACCGTGTGGACGGGGATCAGCTCGCGCCTCAGTTCTGACCGCCATCTGAACTACAGCAGTGCGTGTACTCGACATCCTCGTTAGGGCGCCCACGAAGAAGATGTTGAGGTCACGGCCCGCCCCAGTTCAGACCGCTCGTCGGACTTGCGACGTTCCTGCAGACAGCCTCCTTCCTGCTGCGCTGCTTCACACGCCCGCTGGCGGGATGTGTCGCAGACAGCTCGATACATATGGGCATACACACATATATGTATAATAAACATACAGACATACATACGTACATACATACATACATACATACATACATACATACATACATACAAACATACATACATACATACATACATACACACATTCATGCACGCATGCATGCATACATACAGCACATACGTACTCACATACATACACATATATATACATGTATACCAACATGTAAGGATCTCCACTTGGTCTGGGAGAACAAGCCCCTCAAAAAGAGGACCTCTCCGCCTCCGCCTCTCAACCCGCCAGAGCCGTAAGGCGCACAGCTACCACAGACATCTGACGCCGCAAACTTTCTGTCATAATCAAAGCGTGGCCCCGCAAGAGATCTGGACCTGGGCCCCTTCCTGGGGGCCGGCCTCTCGTCAAAGAAGCTTTCCCTTGACGGTGCCCAGGGGGCACAAAACGGCGAAACCATAACCTCCCGCCGTGCTTCTTTTTACACGGCGCGGCGGCCCTTGTGGCACCAGGGCCCTAAACACGGCAAGCGGTGATCCAAGAATTGGCGCGGGTACGGGGCTCGAGTGAGGTCGATTCCGCAACGAAGCGACGGCTTGCAACACATGTGGGCGCACATGAAGCGGGGAGCGCTGGTGCGCACGAAAATGGAGTGCAAAGTCAGACAGCAAAACGGGAAGAGAACGGAGGAATACACAGGGGGAGAAAAAATGTCACGCTGGCTCCCATGTCGTCCATACTGTCTTTGAAGCATGAAGCGCTTTGGAACCGTGAAGTCTTGGGAAGCCTCCTGACAATCTCCTGGTGCCCGCCGATTCGCAACACACGCACACACAAACACACACACACAAACACACATACACACACAAAACGCGCTTTGCGTGGGAGCCTTGCCGAGAGGATCGTCCTTGGTGAAGCGGTCCCAATCGAAGACCTGCGCACGCGAGGTTGCCGTAGACAGCGGCGCGCCGCGGGCGGGGGGCGGGGTGGAGGCAGGAGAAGGGTGGTGGCGATAGAGGAGAGGGAGGAGAGGGGCAGAGGGACAAGCTAGGCACGCTCGCGCCAGATCTGTAATCCTACCCCGCACACTTATCCCTTGCCATTGCGCTGTGTTTGCGATCTGTCCCCCGACGCGTGTCATAGCGGACGTGTGACTCCAAAGAGGACCCCAGCGAGTTATGCGCAACCGGGAAAGGGAGCTGCGTTCATTGTAGGAGCAGGAGGGGGACGATGACAAGTGACTAGGAGAATGAGCAGGGACGAGGCCGAGGATAAACAGTCACAGCAGGAGCTGGGGTGAGAAAAGCGGGAGGAGCAGGAGGACCAAGGGACGGTGGAGGACGGCAAATGAGAGGGGAGCGACAAGGATGAAAACTGGCCCGCGCTGGGGCGGGAGCACCATCCTGAACGATGGGAGCAACGCGCCGATTAGGAAATGAGGCCAACGCTGCAGCGGGATCACCATGTTGAAACACAGAAAACAATCAGATGCCAAGCAACATTTGATCCGAACGATCCCTGCCGAAACCTCCCGCGTGTGTTCCCGAATCTGGTACTGCTTCGTACGGTAAACAACCTGAGCGCGGCGCGCATGTCGTGTAGGATACGACGCTGCTACTCGGTCGCGTCTGCATTCTACCCTATCACCTTCTGTCCGTTTCTACTCTGCTGTATTCATATGTGGCTGGTTCCTGTGACCAATCTCACGTCGCCTCGCGAGCTGCGTTTGATGGGCGCAGTTCATCGATCGGCGCTGTAATAGATCGTCTTCGATTCTGGAGTCACCGTCCATTCTGCTTCAATGTGTTATAGTATGTTCTGGGTGGGACGGCATTGCGTCGTGACACCTGTCACGCTTGATACGTCGTCCAACTGGTCGTCGCTGCGCCACGTTGTTCCTGTAGCCAGCTGGACCTCGGCGCGCATGCCGCGCCCAATGGGAAACCATACTATGTTGTTGATGGTTTCCGATCTGCTAGATTTAGCAATGCCCGACCGTGGACAATGAAGACGCTCGACATTAAGTTATGCTATGAGACGTTCTCGTCAGCTATGTTGTGTCACACGCTGTTATGCTATGGTTTGTTTCCTCTCCACGTTCCATTCCCACATACTACCAACCGTATTATGTTAAATTCGTCGCTGTTATACGTATTGCGATGGTCTCGGTTTGATCGTCTGTGTTCGGGCATACATATATATGTATATATATATATATATATATATTTACTGGTGTCGGGACATTTCCGCGCCCCCACCGGCTACTATAATATCACAGCAGTGCTGTCGAATTCTGCTACTGCTTCCAACCAATGCTCTGGATAAGCTCGTGTTCACAATTACACGGGCATGTCAGAGTCGCCGATGCTATGCTGTACTAGTTCTGCATGTTCCCCCCAAGTATGTCATAGTATGGCGTGCTGTGGTACGACATCCATTGCTATGTTCTGGTGTTTTATGACACGTAAGATATGGAACGACATGTCAGGGGCAGCTCTGACACGTTAGGTGATGGTGTACTGCGGTCAGCTGTGCGCTCTATGTGGTGATATGCTAAGTTATGCATATACAAATGTGGAATGGCCATGCATGCTATGTCATGATTGGCGTCGCCGCTGACGTAGTGGCAGCCGTCTCGGAGCACGTATGCAATGTTGTGTTGTGGTCGATTGCAAATCATGATGTTGTGACCCCCCACGACCGAAAAGGCTACGTTATGGGATCTATAGTGCGATGATCTGCCATGCTATGCTGTACCATAGTAGGGTTTGGTATACCGTGTGGTCTGGCGACCGCGGTTTGGTGGCGTCGTTCGTCAAAGGCCTCGAGGCCGGATGCTCAAAGAATCTCCGGGATCCTGCAGGGTATGGTGACCACCGTATGCAGGCTGGGCAAGCGAGAGTTCTGCTCGTGAGATCTAAACGCCCCAGCTGGACGAGCGGAAAACATCCAAGAACTATCAACAGTTGACATCCTGTGTACCTTGTAAACAAAGGAGCAACGCAGGGTCAGGGGAGAGAGAAGAGCAGTAGTCATAAGTGTAACTGTGGAAGGAGGGGAGGCGGAAAAACGGGGAGAGGGGAGGGGAGGGGGGGCAAGAGAAAGGGAACAAGGGAAGGATACAAGGCAGGTGGGCTTGCATGATGTATGACTCGTAGCCATCCCTCTCATCCCTTACCAGTGTGCCAATATGTTAACCGAGCACGGGCGGTAATAATGTACCCCCCCCCCCTTTCCTCCTCCTATTTGTTATCCGCGTTCAATAGGATTTCATTGTGGAGAGGGGCGCGGAGGCCGAACTTTAGAATCCACAGGGAAAGTTGCGAATTCAAGTTGCCATCATCTCATGTTGACAAGCAACAGCATCAAAAACGCTGGGCATGGCCATGGTAGTCTCACCACACCAGCGTCCGCAATCACGAGCGTGTGGCAAGTTGTATATCCAGGAGCCTCGAGATCTCTCGAGTCAGAATTGTGCCTAGCGCCCAGGATCACCACCATCATCATCATCCTCCTCATCATCATCATGGTCATCGTCATCATCATCAGCATCATCATCATCATCATCATCATCATCATCATCATCATCATCATCATTATCCTCATCCCTGGGACAATCCTTTATTATCCCCGCAAGAGCCCCGAACTTGATTAACCCCGGGGTACTATTATCGCCCGCGCTCGGTTATATATCCGTGGGCGCGTGTCAGAGCGGACTTGGCACCCCCAGAAAGACACCATCGTGCGATGCGTAATCGGAGAATGGGAGCCGCGTGCATAGGAGAAGCGGGAGCAAGAGGATGTGACGGATGAGCATGCGGACGAACAGGACTGACATGAGGAGGTCGAGGACGGATGGGGGACGGGAACGAGGGCGAAGAGCAGCAGCGGGAACCGGAGTGGAAAGGACAAGAGTAGCAGGAGGACCATGAGACGGCGGAGAAGTGGAAATGAAAACGTCTCCCCTAACAAGGGTCGCGCAACACTTGTGCACCTCATACAGTCTGCCATGCCCAAAATCAGAACCCTGGACACGCAAAGAAAGGCAAATGCATGTGTACGGGAACGGTGCAGGAGCAGTTGCACCAGGAAGAACATACAAACGTCCAAACGTCCGATTCGAACAACACAAAACGTCTGGCACTCCCGGCACTGACAGGGCAGGCAGGGACAACCAAAAACGAACTTTGGCTACACTCTTCCGCGAACTCCGTGAGTAAACACGAGGGATGGCGGGTGCAAAAAGCCTACAGGAGGAGGGGGACGAGGAGGAAGAGGAGGAGGAGGAGGAGGAAGAGGAGGAGGAGGAGGAGGAGGAGGAGGGGGAGGAGGAGGAGTGGGGGGAGGGGGAGGAGGAGGAGGAGGAGGAGGAGGAGGAGGAGGAGGAGGAGGAGGAGGAGGAGGAGGAGGAAACGACGCACGACGAGGAGATCGGAACCGGGCTTCTCGTCGTGATCGGGGAGCGACACTGACAAAAAAGGCTCGGATTCAGGACAATGGCGCGCGCTGGGGCGAGAGCGCCATCCTAAACGCTGGGGGGCAAAGCGCCGATCCGAAAAGGAGGCCCACGCTGAAGCGAGACACCGTCCTGAAACGCCGAGATCAGCCGGAGTGCAACGCGACACGTAGGCACGACCGCCTCGTGAAATCCTGTGCGTGAGCGAGGGGGGGCGGGATGCCCCCAAGGCGTGTTCGGGTGAGAGAGGACATCATAGAAGTCAGAATGTGCCATTGTGGAGGAAGGGGGCAGGCGGGAGAAGGGGGGGAGGAGAGGGAGTACCCCGATGCCGTAGGGGAGGCGATACGGAGGAAAGGCGAGCATGGAAGAAAAATTGGGAGCGAGTGGGGAGGAGGAGGATGAGGATGGGGAGTGGGAGGGCGAGGAGAAGGAGGAGGGTGAGGAGTACCACTCGAAACCCAGCACTCATCAAAGATGTTGCAATGCACTCTTCCTCCAAAATCCCATGTCCAAGATACCTGTAAAATTTCATTTTCACTGGAAGAAGTGTCCCGTTGGAAGACAACCGTCTGAAACCAATACGCCGTGCCAGAACACCTTGGCAATTCAGGATCGAGGCTGAAAACCATTCCCAGGACTTCAACACCGCGAATCAACGAAACCACAGAGGCCTCACAAATTAACACCGTGCCAGAACAATATTCCTCGAACGCCAACCATAAGAACTCTTTTTGAAAGTTGTGGCACCTTAACACGAATGTGCGCGGCGCTGACGCGAGAACCACGTTTTGAGAACTGCCCGCCCTCCATCCGCGAAGCTCTTGCAGCTCCGATAAAAAGCGCGCGCAGCGCTAAAGCGAGAACCACATGTTGAAGACGGGCCGCCATCGATCCATGAAGCTGCTGCACATTCTCAACGCAAAGGTTATAGGCGGGGACGACATCTCGCGCGAAACGCCTGGCCCGCCTCTCCGACACGCCTCGGGGTGCGACACGGAGGACTCCTTCGCAAGGTAAGATGGAGGAGCTCGCTCGCTCGCTCGGAACTGCGCATGGCCGCGTCTCGAATGACTCGAAAAGGTCGGTGGCCGCAAGGCGTTCGGGAGGCACTGTGATCCCGCCGATGTCCAAACACTTGGGGGCCCCTCCCCCAGCAATCAGCATGGGGACTCCGTGATTGCAGCGCATGGTCGAGAGGCCTGTACGTGCAGGCGTCATCTCGGAGACGCAGGGGGGACGAGAGGGACACAGCGGCAGCGGGGGGAGCGGCGGCGGCAAAGAAAACAGAGGAGAGGTCGGCCAGGATGGAGAAGCAGGAGGAGGAGGACTTAGGAGGCGGCGGCGGCGAAGCAGCAGCAGCAGGATCAGGGAGGGGGTGTGCAAGGGCATAGTGAGAGGGATGCGGCCGAATCCCAGCAGCCCTTGACGAGGCACTGATGGCAAAGTCCTTGTTGGGCGGAGCCCCATCATCAAAAGCAACGCCCAGGCGCGCGGCCCGCTCCTGTCTTTCTCGCCCTCCTCTTCCCAGAGGAGGCACAGGAAAATTCCACAAGCGTAAACTTTCAGAGGCCCGCGCGCAAGTCTTGGATCGGCGAGGGTAGAGGCCTCCTGGACGGGGTCGGAGTAGATGGGGTCGGGGGATCGCGCCGCATCGCCGATACATCGGCGATGCATCGGCGATGCATCGGCGATGCACCGGCGATGCATCGTCGACGTGGGCGATGCATCGGCGACGTCGGCGTGGAGAAAATCGGGCTCCACATCGAACCGCATCGCCGATGCATCGGTAATGCATCGGCGATGCAGCGAGATCCTTCGACCCCATCTACTCCGACCCCATCTGGGAGGCCTAGAGAGGGGCTCCCCCTCCAGGGGCGCGCGCACGAGGCGCCGCCAGGGGGGGCCCCATCGCCGAGCCAGGATCTCGGTGCGGAGCTCCGGAAGTCCAGCTCCGTGCACTGGACTCTTCCTCGGCTCCTGGGAGGCCTCTTGCCGCCCCGCTGGAGCCCTGTGGGGGCACCCCTTTGGCTCTCCTGGCTCCTCCTCCTCCTCCTCCTCCTCCTCCTCCTCCTCCTCCTCCTCGGGGCCGGGGCCTCGAACTCGATGGTGCAGCCAGGGGCGGCGTCGGGCATCGGCTGCTTGAAGTTCCAGACTGGGTTGAGCTCCTGCGCGGGGCGCTGGTGCTCTGTACTCTCAGCTTCGTCGCCGTCGTCGTCCTCCCCCTCGTCCTCCTGCTCCTCCTCCTCACTTGCTTCCCGCTCCTCCTCCTCCTCCTCCTCCTCCTCCTCCTCCTCCTCGTCTTCCTCCACCTCGTGGTGCGCCTCCTGCTCGTCCCCCCCCTCTTGCCCTCCTCCGCCTCGCCGTCCTTCTCTGCGCCCTGCTTCTTCTTCTTCTTCTTCTTATTATTATTATTATTATTATTATTATTATTCGTATTCTTATTGTGAGACGTCTTCTTCTTATTATATGACGTATTATGTTGCTATTCTCCCCGACGGCCCCGAAGCACGAAGGCCACAGCGAGGCACTGGAATTCAAAGACGTGGACGGGGAGGAGGAGGAGGAGGAGGAGGAGGAGGAGGAGGAGGAGGAGGAGGAGGAGGAGGAGGGGGAGGGGGAGGGGGGGAGAAGGGGAGGAGGAGGAGGAGGAAGAGGAGGAGGAGGAGGAGGAGGAGGAGGAGGGGGAGGAGGCAGAAGAGGAGCGGAGAGAGAATGAGGACAAGCTGAGAGCGCCAGAGTCAGATCTGACGTCCTACCCCTCCCTCCTATCCCTTACGACTGCATAGATCTCTTCTCTACTTGCACAGTCGGATGTCGAACAGTGCAATGATCCCGAAAGAGTATGCGACGCATAGTATGGCACGGCGTGGCATGGCATCGTGTCGAGGCCGCGACTCAATTCAACAACAAGGTCAGAAGGACACCAGAAATGACACAGGACGGGACGTGCAAATGGACGGTTCGGAAAGCGGGAAGCGCAACATGAGATCAGCACTGCAACGAACAAAACACGATTTCGAAGGACCGGAACTGCGGAAATCAGACTAACGCTGCAGTGGCAACACGACTTGGGAAGAATGGAAGCGCGGAAACCTAGCAAACGCATCAGCAGGAACACGATTTGAAAGTGCCGGAACAATGAAATGAGGTCAACGCTACAGCAAGAACATGATTAAGAAGGACCGAGAAAGGAGAAATGGAGCCAACGCCGTAGCGGGTGCGCGATTCTAGAATGACAGAAAGCGTTCGGATTGGAAATGAAATAAATGTTAATTGTCGGTTCGGCGGCATCCTGTGTTAAAAACAATACTCGGAGGAGAACATGACGCCTGACAGCCTTCGTCGTGGGAAAGGGGAGAGCAGTATTCATATCGGGTAATTGCGGAAGGGAAAGAGGAGGAGGGGGGAGACAGAGGAGGGAGGGAGGAAGTCAAAAAGGAGGAGGAGGAAAATGAGGAGCAGGGGGGGGGAAAGGAAGAGGGGAAGGACGAGGAGGAGGATGGGAAGGATGGGAAGGAGGAGGAGAAGGAGGAGGAGGGGGAGGGGAATGAGGACGCTCCTTCTCCCGGGCGCGGTCGCAGCACGCCCCCGCCCTCCCGGGCCGAGGTCTCCTTCTTGATTGTGTCGGTCTTGAACTCGGTGTTCGGGACACCTCCCGCCCTTCGGCGGCTCCCCTTGCCATGCACACGCAAACACACGCAAACACGCACGCACGCACAAATACAGACATACACTTGTACATACAGCCATACATACATGCATGCGTGCATGCCTACAAGCATACAGACAGACCGGCAGACGGGCAGGCATATCTATATATATATATATATGCACAAACATACATATATAACTATATTTACACGGGTAGAGGTGGATAAGTACACACACCTAAATATGAATAAATATATATATATATATATATACACCATTCGGTATGAAGAACCAATATTTTGGGTTTCCGACTCCCTCCGCTCCCTGAAGAAGAGGGACAGGGGAAAACCACTCGACTCCTGAAGTAGGATGGCGGTGACAATATATTGGGACCTGGGTGTCCAAACGTTGTTAAATACCGTTCAACGGAAGGCGGCGTGCGCAGTCATGCAGTTTTAAAAAAGAGAGTCTGAGAGAGAGAGGGAGAGAGAGAGAAAGAAAGAGAGAGAGAGAGAGAGAGCGAGCGAGATAGCTATACATACATATATATACACATATATATATATATATATAAAAAAAAGGACGCCACGGTTGCGGATGAGGGTGAGGGTGCGGCAGGGTCGTTGGCAGTCTGCAAGTTGCGAAGAAGCCCGCCGCAGGCGCCGACTCTTTGAACACATTGCGCAACGAGCCCGCCGCACACGCCGAACTTTCGTCAAAACAGTGTTGGTGGGTCGCGAGTGGGTCGCGGATGGGTCGGGGTCGCGGGTGGGTCGCGGGGCGGGTCGTGGGGTGGGTCGCGGACGGTTTTCGGCGGCGAGCAAAACGGCGTCGGTCCTGAATGAAATCGAATACATATCGAGCGGGAGCCCTGGTCTGAATGGAGGGCCCGCTCTCGGCGGCGAGCAAAATCGCCAGTCGTCCGGTAAAAACGCAGGAAATATCGAGCTGGACAGTCGTTGTTTATGGGTGGGCCATCTGCGGCGCCGAGGTGAAAGCGCCCGTCCTCAATAGAAATGGAAGAAGGGCCGGCTGGTTTTGCCGGAGGGCCGAAACATAAAACAATGAAGTGTCGAGCGGGAGCGCTGGTTTTGATGGAGGGCCCGTTTTCGCCGGCGAGCAAGGGGGGCGCGAGTCCTGAATAAGAATGAAGCTAGTATCGAGCGGATGCGTTTTGTTTGTAGGGGGTCTGGTTGCTGCGCCGAGGCGAGAGCGCAGGTCCTTAGTAAAAAAGCAAGGATGTATCGATCGGGAACGCCAGTTTTGCTGGAAAGTTCTAAGTAACCAGGGAAGACGTATCGAGCCCGAGCGTTGTTGATGTTGGGGGGCCGGTTTGGGTGGAACCCCGAGGCGTCCGAGCGTGACCCTAATTTTCGAAGGAAATGCAGCCAGCGCCGCGGCGACAGCGCCAAAGCACCTCGAGGGTGTCCAACAACAGATTGTTTAGAAACTAAGACAACTAAGGCTCAACAACAAAAACCACCACCAGCAACAACGGCAGCAGCAACAACAAGAACAGCAGCCGCAGAATCAGCAACAACAACACCGACGCCAACACCATCACCAACAGCAACGACAACAGCAGCAGCAACTACAACACCACCACCACCACCAACAACAACAACAACCATAACAACAACAACAGCAACAGCAACAGCAACAACAACACCACAGTGCAACAACATCGCAACAACAACCCGCACCACATACACCCGCTTCAGATACGCGCCCACGTTCAGTTGAAGACATGTCGGTACCTTCACTTTGATGACTTTATATACATACATATACACAAGTATATATACACACATAACTAGATGTACAGCTTACCCCTCTCTTTCTCAATATGTATTATGCGTTCACGCATGTGTAGATAACTAAGAAGATATACTCAAATCAGAGGGAGGGGCGCGAACGGTCATTCACTGTCCATGGGTGCGTGGCCAGAGCATATAGCGTTCCGCGACGCGGATTGTTTTTTTTCCAGGAACGCCCACCATAGCCACCCGCCTCGCTTGTCCGGGGCCCCGCCCTCGGGCGCCCTGCGGCCAGCAGCGGCTCCATGGAGTCGGACAGCAGCTTTCCGGTCCATCCCACAAGAAACCTCCACTAGATGGCAAGTAAAAGAACTATTGTCACTGGGCACTGGCACTTACAAGAGAAGGAGAGGAACGAACGAGCGAGGGAGGAGGAGGAAGGGAGGGAGGAAGACTGCACAAACGGAGCCAGCACTCAGCGCCACACCGCGGCGGCTGCTGTGGATTATCCTACACCCTGCAGGTCTCGAGCAATGTTTCCTTAGGGCCCGAGCGAAAGCCTGTGCGACAGGTGCTGCTTGCATGCCGCATAACCCTTCAAGCGGAAAAGTGAAAGCACGAGGTGAACCAAAGAACGGCGGAGGATAGAGGAGAAGGATAGGAGGAGAGGGCAAGGAAGGCCCGCGCAGGACAACTAAAGTACCGAGAATGAAAGGCTACAGCACAGAGCCAGCTGAACAACTACACTGGATGCATCGAGAAATTCGGCGGAGGGCCGAAGCCAGACAACGCCGCTGACCGGGCGATCAGGCAGTTGTGTGGGCAGCCACCGCCAGCCGTGCAAGCCCGGATCGCTATCCAGCGGCTGTTGGCTGAAACGTAAAGAAAAGTAACATGGAGCATTTCAAAGATCAGCAGCATGCAAAAAGGAACAGGTAGCGCCATCACCGAGGTTGCAACACAGGAGGGGAGGAGGAGGAGGAGGAGGAGGAGGAGGAGGAGGAGGAGGAGGAGGAGGAGGAGGAGGAGGAGGAGGAGGAGGGAGGAGGGGCCCAGGCGCAGCTAGTTGCAGCAGCCCTCAGAAGATTAAGCCGACGACCATACTCAAAATGTCCCTATGAGTAGCCCTGACACCACCCCGTGGCCCGGATGACATCACAAATCCGCAGATCAGGGTCGGTAGAATCGGAGCCGGAGTATCGGAGAGATACGAATTGGAGTCGGAGAGACGTTCATGAACGTCCGGGCCGTAGATCAAGTAGCCGATGGCTGCATGGCTGCATGGCTGGCGCCCCTCGGCCCGGAGGCCGTACCGAGGCGGTTCGCGCGGCTCCGCTAACGCGGCGCCCTCCTTCCATTGCGTGAAGAGCCAGGTCTTGATCACTTCAGGAAGAGAAGCATCTTTTCTGGGTCCTCTGACATGTTCACCGCCGCCATGGGGTACTCTGTGACGTACGCATCCGTCGTCGGTCCAGGAGTCGGCGAGCTGGTCGGCGCAGGAGTCGGCGAGCTGGTCGGTGCGGGAGTCGGTGAGCTGGTGGTCGGCGCGGGAATCGGCGAGCCACTCGGCGCGGGAGTCGGTGAGCTGATCGGCGTGGGAGTCGGCGAGCTGGTCGATGCGCGAGTCCGTGAGCTGGGCAATGCGAGAGTCGGCAAGCTGCTCGGTGCGAGAGCCGACAAGCTGGTAGGTGCGGGAGCCCGTGAGCTGGTCGGTGTGGTAGTCAGCGAGCCACCCGGCGCGGGAGTCAGCGAGCTGGTCGGCGTGGGGGTCGGCGAGCTGGTCGGTGAGAGGGCCGATGAGCTGGTCGGCACAGGAATCGGCGAGCTGGTAGGTGCAGGAGTCAATGATTCGTACCACGATGTCTCGCATCACCCGTCCGGGGTCCGCGATGCGGATTGTGCTTGCGTCGTTGCTGTTGTTGCGAATGATGTGGTTGGTGTCGGCCCTCGACCCACCCTCGACCCACCAACGAGCCACCCATGACCCACCCGCGACCCACCCGCGACCCACCCGTGACCCACCCGCGACCCGCCCGCGACCCATCCGCGACCCACCCCGCGCCCGCCCCCTCAATCTTATCCGCAACTACGGGGTGCTCCGCACACGCACGCATGTGCACACAATGCGATTAAGAAATGCCTCCGCTCCCTACTCCCTCCCCCTCCCTCCAACCCTCACTCTCTCTATCTCCCTCTGTATCATTTATCTGTCTGTCTGTCTGCCTGCCTGTCTGCCTGTCTGTCTGTCTGTCTGTCTGTCTGCCTGCCATCCTGTCTGTCTGTCTGTGTGTCTGTCTGTCTGTCTGTCGGTCTGTCTGTCTGTCTGTCTCTGCGCGTCTGTGCGTCTGTGCGTCTGTGCGTCTGAGCGTCTGTGCGTCTGTGTCTGTCTGTCTGTCTGTCTGTCTGTCTGTCTGTCTGTCTGTCTGTCTGTCTGTCTGTCTGTCTCCCTCTCTCTCTGTCCTCGCCGCTCGCCCGCCCTTCCGTACCCCCCCCGTCCTCTTCCCCTATTCCCCTCTTGCGCTTTTCCACTCCTTCCATCTCCCCGCCACCTCCTCTCCTCCTCCGCTCAGCTCCCACCCGTACTCATCCCGAAACCATTCCCGCCCGCACCCGCTCCCGCCCTCCCAGAGGCGTGACGTTGTCAGGATCTGGGCCCTCCATGGAGCCTCCGTGCTTGGGACGGTTTGGTCCATCGAACATCACTGTTTGACGGCACCGGGCCTCAGACCGGGGACTCGGGCTGTGCCTTTCTCAAAGCGGCCGGCTATCGTGGGACTGCAGGCGGCGCGGTGATCTACGCGGGGCCGACGCCGTGATCTTTGATGCAGCGCAGCTCCCCAGAGGTCTGGGCCCCTCCACGGGGACCCTCTTTCCTCGGTGCGAGCCTCGATGTTCAGAGCCCCGGGGCCTGGCGAGGGCCCCCAGAGGCCGAATTCTAGCAAACACCGTGGTGGTGCCTTTCTGTTCCACGGCTTGAGGATGTAAATGTTTGGGCCCTGACTCGGGTCTCCCGCGACCGTTCGGGACGACTCCAGCATCCTCGCGGTGAGGCGCAGCTGCCAGAAGGCATACACCGAATCCAAACAAAAACGCCCACGACGGCGATGACCACGTACAACGACCACAACGAGGTACAACACGACGACGACAAGGTCGACGACGAAGCACGCACGACAACGACGCGAGAATGTCGATTGAGCATGGAACGACCGTCCCGGCATTCCTATAAGCCTACCACGACTCATTCTGATAACCCAAACACATTCCAATCACCAAAAACATGGTTCTTAGAACATGAACCCGATGTGTTGAGACAAGACGGTCTCAGACAGCTACGTTCTAAGAACATGTCGTAGAAACCACACGAGGCTCTTAGAACAATGCTTGGGGGGCCTATAGGCACGCTAGGACGCTTCGCCAGTGCTTGAGTAGAGGCCTCCTAGATGGGGTCGGAGTAGATGGGGTCGGAGGATCGCGCCACATCACCGATACTTCGGCGATGCATCGGCGAAGTATCGGCGCTGCATCGGCGATGCCCTGGCGGTGCATCGTCGACGTGGGCGATCCCTCGGCGATGTCGACATGAAGCAAATCGGGCTCCACGTCAAGCCGCATCCGCGATGCAGCGGCGATGCGGCGCGAGCCTTCGACCCCATCCACTCGGACCCCATCTAAGAGGCCTGGATTGAGTCCAGGCGCCGTCTTGGCCTTTTCACGGCGGCCAGCTGCTCGACGAGGACCTCTTGCGGGCAAGCCGCGGGACGGCCCTCCGAGCGGTGCGCGCGCCGTCAGTGCTGCTCACCTCGCCTGCAGGAAGGTCCCGAAGTCCGCGCCGGACAGGATCTGCTTCGCCTGCCGGAGGGCCTCGGAGGGGCGCCGCGCGCACGTCGGGCAGAACACCCTCGCGTCGGGGAGCAAGCCTCGACTTCGAGGGCCTCGAGCAGAGGGAGAAAAAGCGGCAGGAACGCAAACTTCCGCGGTCCGCGCGGATTTCTTGGATCTGCGCTGGACCCCCCTCCCTGGCCCGCGGAGCGCGACAGGGCAGCATCGGAGGCGCCGCCGGGGGAGAGGGGGGTCCAGCGCAGATCCAAGAAATGCGCGGAGCGCCAAAAGTTTATGTTTATTGATTGTTCTCTTCGATCGAGAGATTCGGGGTTCAAGGATCGAGGTTTGCAAACGTCCTCTTCGGTTCCCGAAGGTCTTTCTGCTTCGGGATGCCTTCCAGCAGCGAGAGCGTTCCAGGGGTCGCCTCAGGGGATCCTGCCGAGCGGCCACCGGAGAGACCCGAGCTGCTGCCCGGAGACCGAGACCCGAAGTGTGGCCCGAGCTGCGTTCCGCTTCGGGCGTCCCTGCTCAGGCTCGCGGGCCGTCAAGCAAACAACCGATCGACGAAACAGAAACGGGTCTTACGCGAGATCGTACGCGGGCCGCACGCGCGGAAAGCCGCTGCTTTGGAAAAGGGCGTTCACGCGCGACCTCACGCGAGCAGCTTGCGCGCCAATGTCGGAGCAGGCGAATCCGATTTCTTGCGGCGCTCCATTCTGGAAAGGGTGCAGACCTCAGAGGGGCCACGTGGGGAGGAAGAATCGCGAAACGGCGTGTCTCGGAGAGAGGGGGGGGGTCGCCGCAAAGGAAATCGCCAGCACCTCCCGAGGACCGAGCTTCGGGGGGGCGAGGGCCAAGGACTCGCCGTCGCTTGGACGGCCGTTCCCCGTGCATGTTTCGGTTTCGTGCGTGCATGTTGGCGCACGATTAGTGATCCAGGCTGCTCCTCGATGGTCCTCGCCGGAAACAAAAAAGCGCACACGTCCGAGCGATGCCAAGAAGAGATAAGTGGGGGGGGTTTTGGGGGTGCGCTGGGTAGCCGTCCTCCTCGACGAGAGGAGGTGGCGGCCCCCTGCAGTGGTGAGCGTTGTTTGGTTGTTGTTGTTTTGGTTGAATGTAAATTACCAAACGATTCATATTGTTGGAGCGTTGCTGTTGTTGGCGAGCCGGGTGCTGTTGTTGGCGAGCCGCCGAAAACCGCCGCCCCAACAAAACCAACGCTTCCGCTCGAGACTTCTTCCCGTTTTACCTTGGACTGGCGCGCTACTCTTCTCTCATCGGCGCCGCCCCCAGCAAGAGCAACGCTCCCTCTTGAGACTTGGTCCATTCTTACCCAGATCCGGCGCTTTTGCTCGCCACCGAAAACCGCCGGCCCCAAACAACCAGTGCTCCCGCCCGAGACCTCCTCCCGTTTCACGCTGCATTGGCGCCCAATGATATTTTGAGTTGGCGCCGCCCCATGCAAGAACAACGCTCCCGCTTGAGGTCTCCTCCTTTTTCCTCAAGAGGGTGCTGTTCCTCGCCAGCGACAGCCCCCGTCCCTACAAAACCGCGGTTCCCGCTCGAGACTTGTCCCCTTCTTACTCAAGGCGGCTTTCCTCCTCGCCGCCGGCAACCGCCGCCCCAATATAACCAACGCTCCCGCTCGAGACCTCGCGTTGCTGTTTCAAGCTGGACTGGCGCCCTAGTCTCTTCTGCATTGGCGCCGCTCCCAGCAACAACAGCACCCCTGCTCGAGATTTCCTTCTCTCTATTCAGAGCCAGGTCCTTGCGTCGCCGCCGACAACCCCCATCCCCACCAAGCCAATCCTGTCGTTCGATATGTCCTTGTGTTTTACTCTTGGCTGAGGCTCCACTGGCGGTATCGCATCGGCGCAACAGGGCGCGCGCATGTTTTTTCGAGGCGGGATCTGTTGAAATTCCTCGGAAAATCGACGTTTGCGGGACCTCATTGGGCGGGATATGTGGGAATGGGAATACAGTCGGCCTACCGTAACGGACCACCGCGATAGAACAATAATCCCCAATTGTGGTGATGGTCATCATGATGGTCGCATGCGGCGTGTGGAAGCATTGCGCATGAGGGTAACATGTTTGGTGATGTTGTTGTTGATTGTGTGTTCGCCTTCTGGGGCGCGGACATTTGGCCGAAGGGTGGCGTAGACAAGCGCGCCCCACTACGCGCAAAACAGTTACTCGCAGATGGCCTGGGTCCGACGCAAAGGATTCACTATCTGATGATGATGATGATGATATATATATATATATCTGTATGTATATGTAGATATGTCCAAGTATGTAGTTATACATATATATATATACATCTATAATTGTGTATAACAACGGGCTCATGTGTTCATCAACGGCAAGATGCGACTTGCCGCGGTGACTGTACTGCCCTGCTCATGCAGGGATCCAGAGACTCAAATAACTTACTTGTTTTTGTTGGAGAACATAGAAACACGTGACTTCCCACATTGATGTTCAGGGGGTCATAGGCGGGAAGGGCGGGCAGGAGCCTTAGAGCCCCAATGGCGACGGAGGGGGAAAAGGGAAGAGACAGGGCTGCAACAACGGTGAAAACCTGCGCCCTGAACTCTGGCGGCCGATCGCGACTCATGCGCGCAGAGCTAGGACGCGACGGGTCATCTCACGAGCCCCGCATCTGAGCGCGGCCTCGCGCGCGCCTGGGCCGGGCAGCTGGGGCCGCTCGGAGAACGCCCAGCACGTCATGATTGCGGCCGCCTTCCTTCGCAGACCCTTCTGCTCGAGGCGATGCGCGGCCCGGCCTATCACTCCCCTCGGAGTCGGCTGGCGCGACTGGCTTGGCGCCCTCAGACACAACCTTCCGGGCGCCTGCCGAGCCAAAGCCAGCCCCGCGCCATTCTACGCACCGAGCTCCAGGCACAGGTCGCAGATGGCGCTGAGCTGGTGGCCTTCCGCGCTCGAGTGGGCCCCCTCGCAGGACTGGTGGTCGAAGTAGTCTTAGCCCCACGGTCTCGAGCTCGCCCCTGGTCGCGCGCGGCAACTGCTGCTCGACGGTCCAGTCCGCGAAAAGTCTCCGACTCGCCTGGCGCGGCGTCTGGGCGCGAACCGCGACGCCGCCACTCAGCAGGAAGCGGAGGCGCTAAGCGGCCGCCAGCGCCGCGGCCGGCGCCCCGCGCCAGCGCGCCGGCCCCAGCGCCGCCGCGGCCTCGACTCGGCCCCGGCGAACCCGCCGGGCCGCAGCCATCGCCAGCGGCGCCTCGCGCCGCGCAGGGGCCTGGGGAGCGATCGCTGCCCGCGCCCGGCCCCGCGCCCGCGCTGTCGCCAGCGGCCGCGCTGGCGCCGGCGCCCGCGGGGGCGGCTGCCCACCTCTGCTCTGTCCCTGAGCTGGCGGGGGCGGCCGAGCCGGCGCTGGCGCCGCGCGGCCGCTCCCAGCCAGCTCCCCCGCGAGCCCTCGCCTCGACGGAGCGTCCGCAGAGTTGAGCTCGCCGGGGGCCCAGCGCGCGACGGCCGCGCGCCCCGGCGCCAACGGGGCGGCCGCCCGCCCGCGCACGGCCTCCAGCATGCCGGGCGCCGAGCTGCGACCCTTAGATAGAGCCAAGATGGCGGACGTGGAGTCGGACAGGAAGAGGGGCCCCGGCCCAACCACCGCGCGTTTCGAAGCTAATGACGGAGGCCCCACAGAGATGATCGAGTCGAGGACGGGCATGCCCTCCGAGCGCTTCCAAGGACGGGGGCGCGCCGCAGACCACTTGCCCTTCGCGAGCCACTCGGGGGCCAGCGGCGCCCCGCCATCTCGCCTTTCCGCCCATGGCGGCGCCCAGCTCGGCAACTCCTCGCGGCGCCGCTTCAACTTGACGGACGACATCCCACACATGTACTTTCTGATTGTCTAGCTGTGAATGCGCGCGCAGCGCTGAAGCGACAGAGCAACTCAAGGCGCGTCAGACACACGCGCGCGCAGTGCCCAACAAGGACCTCCAGGACTTCGCCAGAGAGTATTGGCAGCCCCAGAACATGATGGAGAGCCACGCGGATGCTCCAAACACGACGTTCCTTGGCAAGCACCACTGGCCACTCGCGCGAAACAAAAACCACCCTGGAGCCTGCCCCCCGGGCCCGGATTCCACAGGGTGCGAGTGCTACCCGGCGAGGCGCAGCTCTGCGGCCGCGCGCTGGGCCGCGCCTTTGGCTTTCCCGGGAACCTGGGACAGGGTCGCAAAGTCATCGACGCGCTCGGCGCGAGCGCGGGGGGAGAGCGAGGGGGGGGGGGGGGGGAGGCACCTGCGATCCTGGACTCTGGACTTCGATCCATGGCCTGGGACTTGGGGGCTGATATCTTCGAGCGCGCGCTGGCACCACTTGAGGACGCTGGTCCAAAGCGCGGGCGACTGTCAGCCGGCATCGAGACCTGGCAAGATGCATCTCGTGTATCAGTCTCGCCTAACTCAACAGCGACATCGGCCGCAGCAAAGAGACGAGTCCCCGGTGGAGGCCAAGCGGGTCCTGGGAATTCCTAAACCAGCGGCTCGACCGACGGGCATCTATGCTGAGACGCTGCCCTCCGCTCTTTTTTCCAGATCGCTCAAAATTCCGCGCGCCCCGACCATATATCCAGAGGGTATCCAATCATGCCCTTGCTGGACATGGTCGCCAAGCAACGCCGGTGCCCCCGCGGGCATCGCAAGTGAGGGCCCGAGTAAAGACGTTGAGGCATTTCCTGAAGGTCTAAACGCCCTGCCTTCATATCCTTTGCCAACATATATTCATGCGCAGACCATAAAGCTCAGAGCGGCCATCGCGCAGCAGCTGGTCCAAGTCAACCGGCGAGCCGACTCCGCCCAGTCTGAGCAAGACAATGCCCATCGGCGCCGCAGTCGCACAAACTCCCTCGTAACCGCGGTTTGCCCGGAGCTCACGACAGGCCCCCTGGCTGGTGAGGTCGTTCGACGCTGGCTCTAACGATCGCCATGCCGAAGTCATGCGCCAGCGGCCGGAAGTGAACGGAGGCGCAGGCATCGGCGCCATTGCACTGGCGGCCCCCCATCTCATTC